GCCCGCATAGCCAAGTCAATTCTAAGCAAAAAGAACAAAGCGGGAGTCATCACACTACTGGACTTCAAACTATACTATAAGGCTACAGTAATCAAAACAGCATGTTACAGGTACCAAAACAGAGATATAGACCAATGGAAAAGAACAGAGACCTCGGAGGCAACACCGCACATCTACAACCATCTGCTCTTTGACAAACCTGACAAAAACAAGCAATGGGGAAAGGCGTCCCTGTTTAATAGATGGTGTTGGGGAAACTGGCTAGCCATGTGCAGAAAGCAGAAACTGGACCTCTTCCTGACACCCTACACTAAAATTAACTGCAGATGGATTAAAGATTTAAACATAAGACCTAACACCATAAAAACCCTAGAAGATAATCTAGGCAAAACCATTTAGGACATAGGCATAGGCAAGGACTTCATGACCAAAACACCAAAAGCATTGGCAACAAAAGCCAAAATAGACAAATGGGACCTAATCAAACTCCACAGTTTCTGCACAGCAAAAGAAACAGTCACCAGAGTGAATCGGCAACCAACAGAATGGGAAAAAATTTTTGCAATCTACCCATCTGACAAAGGACTGATATCCAGAATCTACAAAGAACTAAAACAGATTTACAAGAAACAAACAAACCCATTCAAAAGTGGGCGAAGCATATGAACAGACACTCTACAAAAGAAGACATACATGAGGCCAACAAACATGAAAAAGTGCTCATCATCACTGATCATTAGAGAAATACAGATCAAAACCACATTGAAATACCATCTCATGCCAGTTAGAATAGCGATCATTAAAAAATCTGGAGACAACAGATGCTGGAGAGGATGTAGAAAAATAGGAACACTTTTACACTGTTGGTGGGAGTGTCAATTAGTTTAACCATTGTGGAAGACAGTGTGGCGATTCCTCAAGGACCTAGAAATAGAAATTCCATTTGACCCAGCAATCCCATTACAGGGTATACATCCAAAGGATTATAAATCCTTCTACTATAAGGACACATGCACAGGAATGTTCATTGCAGCACTGTTTACAATAGCAAACACCTGGAACCAACCCAAATGCCCATCGATGATAGACTGGACAGGGAAAATGTGGCACATATACACCATGGAATACTATGCAGCTATAAAAAAAACAATGAGTTCATGTCCTTTGTAGGGACATAGATGAACCTGGAAACTATCATTCTCAGCAAACTGACACGAGAACAGAAAATCAAACACCGCACGTTCTCACTCATAGGTGGGTGTTGAATAATGAGAACACATGGACACAGGGAGGGGAACATAATACTCAGGGACCTGTCAGTGGGTTGGGGGGCATTAGAAGAAATACCTAATGTAGCTGACAGGTTGATGGGTGTGGCAAACCAACATGGCATGTGTATACCTATGTAACAAAGCTGTACATTCTGCACATGCACCCCAAAACTTAAAGCATAATATAAATAAATAAATAAACATAACAACAGGTGTTGGTGAGAAGATGGAGACATTAGAACTCTTGTGCACCACTGGTGGTAATATAAAACGATGCAGCTGTTTTGGGAAACAGTACAGAGGTTCATTAAAAGTAGAACTATCTTATGATTCGGCAATCACACTTATGGGTATTTACCCAAAGAATTCAAGACAGGATCTCAAAGAGGTATTTACACTCAAATGTTTATTGCAGTAGTATTCCCAGTAACTGTAAGGCAGAAACAACCTAAACGTCCATCAATGATGAATAGAAAATATGGGCCCGATGCAGTGGCTCATGTCTGTCATCCTAGCACTTTGAGAGGCTGAAGTCAGAGAATTGCTTGAGCTCAGAAGTTTGAGATCAGCCTGGGCAACATAGTGAGACCTCATCTCTACAAAAAATAAAAAAGAGCCAGGTATGGTAGTTTGCTTTTAGTACCAGCTACTCAGGAGGCTGAGGAGGGAAGATCACTTGAACCTAGGCTATCCAGGCTGCAGTGAACCATGATGGTGCCACTGCACTCCAGCCTGGGCAACGGAGTGAGACCCTGATTTAAAAAAAAAAAAAAGGAAATGTGATATATACATGTGTGGACTCAGAAGGCTAATCAGAAACTCAAAAGAATGCAACTATTTGTGTCTCACCTACCTGTGACCTGGAAGCCCCCTCCCTGCTTTAAGTCTTTCTGCCTTTGCTTCAAGTGGTCCTGCCTTTCCAGACTGAACCAATGTACTTCTTACTTATATTGATTAATGTCTCATGTCTCCTTAAAATGTGTAAAACCACGTGCCTCAACCACATTGGGCACATGTCATCAGGAATTCTTGAGGCTGTGTCACGGGAGCATCCTCAACCTTGACAAAATAAACTTTCTACATTAACTGAGACCTGTCTCAGATTTTGATTCTGAGGGCCCAAGATATTTTCCTTTCACACATGCGATGGAATATTATTCACCCTTTAAAAAGAATGACCTCCAGTCATATGCTACAACATGCATGAATTTTGAACATCATGCTAAATAAGGTAAGCCACTCACAGAATGACAAATACTATCTAATTCCACATGTAAGTGGTATGTGGTTACCTAAATAGTCAAACTCATAGGAACAGAAAGTAGAATGGTGGCTGCCAGGGGCTGGGGGAGGGCAAATGGGAGTTGCTGTTCAATGGATAAAGAGTTTCAGTTATGCAAGGTGCAATTCTAGAGATTTGCGATGAGCAAATTTCTTATAGTTAACAATGCTGTACTGTACACTTAAACACTTCTTAAGAGGATAGATCTCATGTTACATTTTTTACCGTTTTTTAAAAATGGACAAAAGACATTAACAGGATTTTATAAACGATTTCAAACTGAGCAATAAATATATGTGAAATGATCAGCCATATTAGTCATTAGGTAAATGCAAATTAAAATAACAATGAGATACCATTGCTCGTCCACCAGATTTGGTGCGGGGGGAAGTGCGGTGGACGGACCAAAAAACTTAACGAAATCTGTGTTGATGGGAATGTAGAGCTGTAACAGTAACTCTCACACTCTGACTGTGGCAGTATAAACTGGTACAATCATTTTGAAAATGTTTGATTTTCAAGTATATATATTTCTATATATATATATATATATAAACGTATTCCTACCTATATCTTTACTACCTGGCATGTCTCTGCAAAATAAATCGCTGTATCTCTCCAGAAAGACACTATCTCTAGCTTTTCAAAGTTATTAAAACAGGTTTGGACTCTGCAGAAAAGCAGGAAGTTCATGGAGAGTTATCTTCCTAAATCTGAGTTTAGGAACCTGTTAAATATTCAGGGGTAAATGGGCAAAACAAGCAACATTGGCTGTCATTGAGGAAGCATTTACTATGTTCTGGCACAAATTATGTGATGAGGTTTGAAGAGTGATTCTTGATCACCCTCTTTGAGTGTGGAGCTAATTTGCAAAATAAAACAAGAATCAAAAACCTTAATGGAAGTAAAGCCCATGGGAAATTTTGACCAAATAGGATTCCTATTAGATTCTACAATTGAACCTACTCCCTTAGTCACAGACAGGGCTGGGAGACCTCCCACCTGCTGAAGGGGCAGGGCAGCTCAGGCAAGATGGAAGAGAAGGGTGAAGAGACCATTCAGAAAAGAACAGCCTTGCAGGGGCTGAGAAAATCATGTTAAGCTTGCCTTTCGAAACTCATCCATCAGAGGGGTCACTTCTCCCATGAGGAGGCAGGAGTAAGAAAACAGCCAAAAGCCTGCAGTATTCCTCCACAGTTTCCTTTCCAGGGCTTGGACCAGAGTTCTGGTCACCCAGAACAAGGGGCATGGCCAAGGTGGTATTTGTCCACGTGGCTTTGGCCAGATTGTTTCAGCTTAAATGCAAATACCTTGATTCTGCTACTAGATGTACTGGCTGTAATGCCCTCCTGACACAGCAAAGGGTAAGAAGGTTATTGTCCTTGCAGAGAAGGAGAATGGGCATCAGAGCGAATTGGTGCCAACCTCACCTACACCATTTACTCAGTCTTCTCCTCTAAAACGATGTAATAACAATCCCTACCTTGTGTCTAGATAACTAAATAGAGTCAGCCCTTCATATCTGTGGGTTCCCAACCAACCACAGACTGAAAATATTGGAAGAAAGAGAAAAAGAAGAAGAAGAGGAGGAGGAGGAGGAGGAGGAGGAGGAGGAGGAGGAAGAGGAAGAGGAAGAGGAAGGAAAAAAAACATCTAGATGCACTAGCTCACACCTCCAAAAGTAATCCAGCATTTCTGGAGGCTGAGACAGGAGAATCGCCTGAGCCTGGGAAGTTGAGGCTGCAGTAAGCTGTGATTGTGCCACTGCACTCCAGCCTCGGTGGAACAGAGCAAGACCCTTCCTCAGAAAAATAAAAAATGATAAAGGATAATTGCATCTGTACTGAACATATACAGGCTTTTTTCTTGTTCTATTCCCTAACAATATAGTAACAACAATTTATGTAGTATTTACATTGTATTAGGCATTGTATAAGCAATTTAGAAATTAAAGGAGAATGTGCATGGGTTATATGCGAATGTTGCACCAGCTTTTATAAAGGAGTTGAGCATCTCTGGATTTTGGTATCCACTGGGATACCTATACGTTATAGAGTAGTCCCTTGGTATCCTGGGACCAATACCCGTCGGACACCAAGGGATTACTGTATAGCGTTTGCTCCATGCCACGCACTGTTCTAAGCCTCTTCAAATATTAATCCTTTAATCGTCCCATCCATCACCTTACGAGGTAAACATTACCTTTGTCAGCTAACGAAGGAAATGGGCAGTGAGAAGTTAAGTGGCTTGGCAGGTCCCACCGCTGTTGAGCCGAGGCGCCTATTGCGCTGGGATTTGAACGCCCACCCTCTGGCTGCGCAACCTGTGTCATCCTGCAGGAAACGAAGCCATCCCGGGACCCGGCGCGCGAGTAAGACTCCGCAGTATGCGCGGCGTGTGCGCGGAACCTGGTCTTCTACGAGCCTGGCCTTCCGAGCGTGGCGCGCGGCTGCAGGGATTCTCCGGGACTCGCGCCGGGGACCGTGCTCGGGAATCCTGCGGGGGTGGGAAGGGGGCTCGGGCTCGGCGCCTCCGCCGCAGGGGGGCGCTGCCCGGCTCCCCGGCGCTGGCGCTGCGGGCCGCCCCCGCGGCTGGGCGTGCCGCCTGCAAGATGTCGGTGCGCCGCGGCCGGCGGCCGGCGCGGCCCGGGACCCGCCTCTCCTGGCTGCTGTGCTGCAGCGCCCTGCTGTCCCCGGCCGCGGGCTACGTGATCGTGAGCTCCGTGTCCTGGGCCGTCACCAACGAGGTGGACGAGGAGCTGGACAGCGCCTCCACCGAGGAGGCTATGCCCGCGCTGCTGGAGGACTCGGGCAGCATCTGGCAGCAGAGCTTCCCCGCCTCGGCTCACAAGGAGGACGCGCACCTGCGGCCCCCGGCGGGCGCCGCGCGCTCCAGGCCGCCCCCTGCGCCGCCCGGGATGTTCTCCTACCGGCGTGAGGGCAGCCAGGCGGCCGGTGCCCCCCCGGCCCCGAGGCTGCGAGCCGCCACCGTCCGCTCCCTGGCCCACGCCAGCGCCTGGGGCTGCCTGGCCACCGTGTCCGCCCACGAGAAGGTAAGCGCCCGGCGGCGAGCGCGAGGGGGCTTGGCATTCAGGCGGCGGCCGGGGAACCGGGACGTGCTCGCGACCGCTCGGGACTGGGATCCGGGTCCACCAGACGTGCTCGGTGCGCTGGATGGCACCCTCGACACTGCATATAACGGAAGGCGAAGGTGCCTCCGTGAGCTGGCGAAGTCGGGGAGGGGTCGGAGAGGGTCGTGGACAACCAGGCTTCCTGCCAGGTAGGGCTGGGTACCGAATCCCCGCCTAGAGATGGCCAGGCAGAGGGACGGACACCTAACCAGCGTCTGACCGAGACCTGAACCAAAGCAGCCAGAGCCGCCTTTGGAATCTCAGAGTAGGCGGGGACAGCCCTTCCCAGAGCAGGGCACAGACCCACAGACCCGAACTGCCCATCACCTCCTGACCTGGAGCTGAAGTGGAGACGCGGGCAGAGACAGCACCAGGGCTTCGTTGGAAATCTGCATTTAAGAAAATGGAGTTCAAGATTTTTTTCTGGAAAGGAGGTTTATTATGCAAAGTGTGTAAAACCTGGAATGAGCTATCCGCTGCACTTTTTGTCTTCAGTTCGCAAATGCTTTACTCACCTGTTAGACATGATTCCACGTAGAATGACATGGACAAGTAATGCACATGTAACTTCCATGCCTCCAGAAAGGTTTTACGGGTGTTAAGAGAGATAAAAGAGATACAGGGCAGTAATGTGAACTCCTATTTACTTCCTACAGAAACAGAATTAGTGTTTTATAGAATGCATAGGACATTGGCTGGGTTCTTGCCCCAGCTCTGGGTCTCACCAAGACTGTGGCCGAGTGACTGGCTTCTCCACTTTGCTTTCCTCATCTGTAAAATTAGGTGGATAACCAGGCAGTTTTTAAGGTTTTTTGTGTTTTTTTTTTGCTTAAAAACTGCCTAAATGGCAACTTTATTTCGATTTTGGCAATGGTCTTAACCTCTTCAGTGTCAAATGCAGATCCAGTTGGATATCCTGAGCACCCAAATGATTTTTCACAGCTGTATTTTGCACTCCTAAGACACATCTTAAAAAGACAAAGGTTAAAGATGATACTAATCTTGGTTGAAAACACAAATCTTTTCAATAAATTGAAAGTCTAGTGCCAATGTATTGGAGATATTTTGACTTTCAACATTCCTTCTCTTAGCTTTGTTAGGAGTTCCTCTTTCTAATCCTTACTGACATTTAATCTAAACAATAAATTCAGAAAACATTTACAATGTACTGCCACGTATGCAAAGCATGACTCTGGGCAGCTATGTCAAGCTGAAAAATGGGATATATGAACGAAGTTATATTACCATTTTGGAAGATTCCTTAACATTTCCTATTCCTAAAAAATTGAAGCCCTGCCTTTTATAATTCTACACTCCATTATCAAGCAACCCTTCAAGGACAAAGATAACTCCTGGATTCTGAGCTAAGTAACAACAAGGTGAACTTCGTTAGGAATGAAATCATGGAAAAGTGGGATGTTTGACTGGCAGGATTTGGGAAAACCTAAGCACTAAATATTTTTGTTGGCCAGGCGCAGTGACTCACACACCTGTAATCCCAACACTTTAGGAGGCCAAGGAGGGCAGATCATTTGAGGTCAGAAGTTCAAGACTAGACTGGCCAACATGGTGAAACCTTGTTTCTACTAAAAACACAAAAATTAACCAGGTGTGGTGGCACACACCTGTACTCCCACCACCTGAGGAGGCTGAGGCACAAGAGTCGCTTAACCCAGGAGGCAGAGGCTGCAGTGAGCCAAAATCATGCCACTGAACACCAGCCTGGGCAACAGAGTGAGACTCTGTCTCAAAAAATAATAATACTAATAAATAAATATTTTTGTTTATATCTGCAATCACAGAAACATGATATACCACCTGTCTTAGTCCATTTGTATTGCTATAAACAAATACCTGAGGCTGGGTAATTTATAAAGAAAAGAAGTGTATTTGGCTCACAGTTCTGCAGGCTGTTCAGAAAGCATGGCGCAGCATCTGCTTCTGGGGAGGCCTCAGGCTGCTTCCACTCATGGTGGAAGGTGAAGAGGAGCCAGTGTATGCAGAGATCACATGTCGAGAGAGAGAGCAAGAGAGAGGGGACGGTGCCAGGCTCTTTTTATTTTTATTTGTTTATTCCCAGGCTGGAGTGCAATGGTGCAATCATAGCTCACTGCTGCCTCAGACTCTTGGGCTCAAGCAACGCTTCTTCCTCAGCCTTCCAAGTAACTGGGACTACAGGTGTGTGCCACCATGCCAAGCTACTATTAAAAAAAAAAAAAAAAAACTTTTTGTAGAGATAGGGGTCTCGCCATCGTTCCCAGGCTGATCTTGAACTGTTGGTCTCAAGGGATCCTTCTGCCTTGGCCCCCCAAAGTGCTGGGATTACAGAGTAAACCCCCACGCCCAGCTGACACCAGGCTTTTTTAAACAACCATCTCTCAGGGGAACTCTTAAGGAACTAACAGAGGGACAATTCATTCATTACCTCGAGGAGGACACCAAGCCATTCATGAGGGATCCACTCCCATGACCCAAACACTTCCCACTGGGCCTCCCCTCCAACACTGGGGATCAGATTTTAGCATGAGGTTTGGAGGGAAAGACATCCAAACTATAGCACCACCCTTCTCCCACCCTGCTGGGTGGTCATGAAGAAAACTTGGCATATCATGTTTCTGTGACTTCCTTTATACAAAAGAATGGTTAAGAAATCAATTTCTTGTAACTTGCTGAGTCATACAATGAAATATTATTGATTATAATTTTTAAAATGCAGCTAATAAATGAGGAAGTGATGTAGCCCTAAAAGAAACAATAAAAGAAAGTTCCTGAAGTCCAAAGAGCAGGCAAGACGTTAAAGACTTAAATTTCCTCCCTAAAGTTGCTAAAAACATGGAAGCGGCAGCCAACCTTGGGAGTTAAGGCAGTGGGACTGTAACGGGCAACTTGTGGGAAAGGCTTAGCGCCACCCCCCATAAATGTCATTGTTCCTCCCCCAACATGAAATTTTAAAAGTGAATGTATATTTGCCATGCACAGGCATCTTCAAGAAGAATCCTTTCACCACCCCTTCCAAATAGAATGCCATTGCTAAGCATCTCCTGTAGAGGAATTCTAGAGCCACCACGGAGTGAATTGGGCAGACTGGGGACCACGTTACCTTGATTTACTACCCGTCAAAGCCACTCTGATGCCATGATCCCCCCTCCTCCCTGGTGCTGTATTTTCTAGCCAGAGGCACACAAGCTAAGCTCCCAGATCAAGTCAAGCCACAACTCAGCATTGAAAAAGCCTTTTTTGGTGTTTATTAGATCCAAGGACTGCCATTTGGGAACTGCCTGCCCATCAGTGATGGCCCCATCAACAATAGCACTGGGATTCCTTTCTTCTACATGACAGCCAAGGACCCCGTGGTGGCCGATCTGTTGAAGAACCCCATGGCCTCGCTGACGCTACCGGAATCAGAAGGAGAGTTCTGCAGGTAGACAAGGGTTTGCCCTCACTCGCGTGGTTCCTGGGAAATTTTTGACAGAGAGTTGGGCATGGGTTTCCCTCTGGGTCACCTGACTTTAACAGACCTCTAACATGCACATCGATGTTCACCCTTGAAATCAGATCAATTAGAATTCCACCACTCACCAAGCAGTGTGATTTGTAGCAAGTTACTTAACCTCTAGGAGCCTCAGTTTCTTCTTCTGTAAAATGTGAATAATAATCGTTGCCTCCGAGTGTTATTGCAAGTGTTGGATAACCCTTGCAAAATGCTTTGTGCAGCACTGGCAGGAATCCAGACAGCTCCTGTTATTATGGAAAAGGGCTAGAGTAGGAGTGAGGGTCAGTAAAGGAAGAGCCAGTAGTTCATCTCCTCAGCACAGAGTCACGCAACCCAGAGTCAATTTACTGTCTTTTCAATTTATTTCTCCTGTCCCCAGAGATATGTGCAATAAAGAGCCAGCATTTTTTAATACATCTTTTCAAAAACTCTCTGAAAGAAAACGTTTTTAAAGACATTTAAGCACTAACAGAACACTGATCCAGGCCCCTTTGTCTGAATTCAAAATGCAAAGCCTGAACTTGTATTCTCCCAGGGAGATGTCTACACGAAGCTGGTATGGGGGCTGCATGTGAGATCCCCTTACCCTTCCCAGAGGAGCAGCAAATGCCCAGGGTAAGCCCTTTAACCTCCAGGACCTAAGTCACTCCACCTAAATGTAGTGATGCTTTAGAAAATCAACAGGCCACGGCAGGGCTCGGTGGCTCACGCCTGTAATCCCAGCACTTTGGGAGGCCGAGGCAGGGTGATCATGAGGTCAGGAGTTTGAGATCAGCCTGGCCAATATGGTGAAACCCTATCTCTACTTAAAATACAAAAATTAGCCAGGCATGGTGGCAGGTGTAGGCAGGAGAATCTCTTGAACCTGGGAGGCCGAGGTTGCAGTGAGCTGAGATTGTGTCTTTGCACTCCAACCTGGACAATAGAGTGAGATTCTATCTCAAAAAAAGAAAAAAAAAAAATCAAGAGGCCTCATCCCTCCTCTGAAATTTATTCTTTATGCACAGCACAGAAAACATAATAACCAAACAATGTATGAGTTCTTACAGAGGCTAATCAAAGCAACTACACAAGCAAGATGCTGCCTGGATAAGCCATCGTTCCCCTTCAGCCAGGATAGACCATGTGGAGATACTTCAGCTGACCCTGTTCCCCACCAGGTTACAGCAAGAAGCCAGGAAAAGAAATGTTTCCTTCCTCATGGAATAGTCTCCCTGTTCTTGGTCAGTCAAGCTTGCTGTTACTAGAAGTGTATTTCTAGGATTCTGTTTTTTTTTTTGTTTTTGAGGTTTTTTTTTTTTTTTTTTTTTTTTTTTTTGAGACAGAATTTCACTCTTGTTTCCCAGCCTGGTGTGCAGTGGCATGATCTCGGCTCACTGCAACCTTGAACCTCTGCCTCCCGGGTTCAAGCAATTCTCCCTGCCTCAGCCTACCAAGTAGCTGGGTTTACAGGCACCTGCCACCAGGTCTGGCTAATTTTTATATTTTTAGTAGAGGTGGGGTTTTGCCATGTTGGCCAAGCTGGTCTTGAACTCCTGACCTCAGGTGATCCACCCACCTCGGCCTTCCAATCCAGGATACCTTTCTAAGCTTCTCAGGCTTTCCTCGTTCAGGTATCCTGAAAGCAGTCGTGCTGAAGCGTGTGGCTCCCAGAGCCCCAGAGCACAGCCGCTCTTGGGACACGCAACAGAATCCATGCCTGGGACCAAGCTGCAGCAGCGCTCCGGCTTGGGGAGGATTTGTCAACTGGCAACCCCCAGGCAGACGGCAGCAGGAGCTGGAGCTAGGAGCAGTGAGAAATCGGACTTAGGAGAAGTCCTCACAGGGGAGAGGGTCTCAGGGTGACTTCCTTCAGCCCCCGGGGAAGACTTGCCTGCATGGTTTAGAGCCACCTATGTGGACCGTCTTCGTGCCAGGCCACATGTGGGATGCGCAAACACCTGTGCAGCCTGCCAACTAACTGGGTGAGGCAGTTCATGTCTGGAGGTGAGCACCCCAGGGCCAAGGGCAGGAGCATCTTAGCACACCTGTTACTCTGTCCTGGGAGAGGAAGGAAGAGACACACTCATGGGTACCCCTTAGTTTATATCTTCATGTAAAGCTGTTTCTCAGAACTGCTGCACCCCCGACAGTGGTTAAGCTTCTGACGTATTGAAATATGATGTAAATAAATGCCTATAAAACCAAGTTTTGCCTTAGTAAGCCTCATACTTCAATGCAAAAGTTACCCAGCAATGGGGCTTTTGCGTCACCCTAGGGTCTACGACTTCCCATAATCGGCATAAGCCCAGACGTGACTCACCTGTGTGAGCTTCACATTCCAGGTGGAGCATTACATTTTAGGTTTCACCTTCGGAATCTTGGTAATGTTGAACACAGGGACTCAACAAGTCAAAGCCATGCGGCCTGCATTGAAAAAGAGAATCCAGAGCCTCAAATAAACAAGCCAAGCAGGGGGCTCCTAGGGCCACCAAGGCATCTGGTAGAAGTGTCCGCAGCTACCCAAACACCTGGGGGAGTTTTGAACAACAGCCAGGCAAGGTACCAGCAGGGGGCCCCCTCCTGCCTGCCCCCGGGCCTGAAGAGGTCGCAAAGGCAGACTTCATCCTCAGGTGCTTCAGAGTTTCACAGCTTGAATCTCCCACAGGAGGGAGGAGATTCAAAAAAGCATCCATGTCTTATGATGATAATGAAAGGTCAAGGCCACCTGATCCTCTCAGCTTCAGAAGGTAGCTCATACTCAGAAAAGTGAAAACTGCCTTCCATCCTATGTATGGAAAACTTGCAACAGCGTTTTTAACCATCCCATGTGGCGCCTTCTGGGGGCTCCTATTCCTCTGCTGGTCTGTGCAGTGGGGAGGCCGTGAGTTATCCGTGTTTCATCCCAAGGGGGAAGACAAAGCCAGAAGTAGGCTTTACTGGACCATAAAACAAGTCCTGACAGGGAGGAAGTCGGGAGGCCACTGACCTCTGAGAAAGGAAAGGGGGTGCCTTCACGGTCATTTCCTACAGCCCACTGGGCATCTCTAAAAGAGGGGGCATTTCAGCGGCAAGCCTGCCTCTGCGTTCATCAGGTAAGCCCCATTTACTGAAGACTCTGCACTGGCATGGGCTGGTGAGTGCCACTCCACCAAGGACACAGCCCGGGAGCAAGGAGCCTCCAAGAACTGGGGCAAGAACAACTTAAGCTGAGGGAGGGAGAAAAGCAAGTCTGAGACTATTGAGAGGGCGGGCTGATGTCAGAGCTCCCTTTGGTGCCAAACAATTGTGTCTATAATGTGTATGTGTTTAGTAAGCAGATACACAAATGGAAAAATCGATTACACATAGATAATAGGTAAATAATTGATAGAAGATAGATAGATTATAGATAGGTAAGAGATAGATGGATGATGGATGAATGGATAGGTAGATGGATGAATTGGATGAATAGATAGATGATAGATGGATGATAGATGAATAGGTAGATAAATGATAGATGGATGATGAAGAGATAGATGATGGATGGATGGATGGATGAATAGATACGTACATGATGGATGGATGGATAGATGAATAGATAGATAGATAGATAGATAGATAGATAGATAGATAGATAGATAGAAGCTTTTACACATTTCAACTGTTCTCTATTCAAAAGAGCAAATATTGGCCAGGCGGGGTGGCTCACACCTGTCATCCCAGCACTTTGGGAGGCTGAGGCGGGTGGATCACAAGGTCAGGCATTCAAGACCAGCCTGGCCAAGATGGTAAAACCCCATCTCCACTAAAAATACAAAAATTAGCTTGCCATGGTGGCGGGCACCTCTAGTCCCAGCTACTCGGGAGGCTAAGGCAGGGAATTGCTTGAATCTAGGAGGCAGAGGTTGCAGTGAGCCGAGATCATGCCATTGCATTCCAGCCTGGGCGACAAGAGCAAAACTCTGTCTCAAAAAAAAAAAAAAAAAAGACCAAATATTACAGTTGCCCTACTTGGTCTCCACAGTCCACTCTTCATCACCTTGAATTCATCCTTAATCCAGCAGCTGGGGTACTCTCTTAAAATCCACATCAGATCCCGAGGAGAAGCAGCAGAATCCTTAATATGGCCTAGGAGGTGCTTCACAACCAGGCACCTGCTTCCCTCTAAGAATAAATAATAGTGTCTGCCTCTTAACTGATTGACTTAATATTTAATTTATACCTAGTTTCATCAAATTAAGAGCATTAACCTGATAGCTTGTTGTAGTCAAAACTGACATATATTCTTTGGCATGGAGCTAAGAAAATGCTTTTCCATTAGTAATCCCCGCATGTAGGTTGACAAGTCATATCACTCAAAAGTGATATTTAGATCCATTAACAGGCCTGTGTCTTAAAGATAAAGTTAGATCCAAGTCGAAATAGGTGAAGGACATTGAGTATCCATGGCCTCAAGAGTCTCAGGAAATTTAATGAAGAAAATGCCCAGCAGGGCCGGGCGAGGTGGCTCACACCTATAATCCCAGCACTTTGGAAAGCTGAGGGGGATGGATCACGAGGTCAAGAGATTGAGACCTTCCTGGCCAACATGGTGAAACCCTTCTCTCCTAAAAATACAAAAATTAGCTGAGCATGGTGGTGTGCACCTATAATCCCAGCTATTCAGGAGGCTGAGGCAAGAGAATCGCTTGAACCTGGGAGTCGGAGGTTGCAGTGAGTCAAGATTGTACCACTGCACTCCAGCCTGGTGACAGAGTGACTCTGTCTCAAAGAAAAAAAAAAAAAACCCCAGCAGATGTAGTTTCCTTAACCACAGCCATGAGAAGGCAATATCTTGAGAATGATGAAAGGAATGAATATCTCTTCATATTTTATAGCTTTCTAGGGACCTTAAAGGGTTTTTTAATGAATCTGTCAAGTCCAGCCTGGGCTAGTTCATCACACCTAGTTAGGGATTTTTTCCAGAT